AACATGGCTCCTCCTCATCCTGACAGGAGGAACCACAGAGCTCTCATAGGTTAAAGCTCATCTGCTGAAGTTGGGATGTTTTTCCTCCAACAGGTTCCAGAGGAATCACCTCAAACCAGATGTTGGACTGGATTTTATTTCAATGTCATTGTGAATGTTAGAGCCTCATTTTCAACAGTGGAGCTATAAAGGTTGAAAAAGGTTTTAATTTCGGAGAAAATCTCATCAACATCAATATTTCCACTAAATAAGAGGCAAAAAAATAGTTTGATAGAGGAAAAGCCTCTCAGACTCAAAGCGAGATGCCAGAGAGCAATAAAACTATTATTTTAAATTAGACAATTTAATTCCACATAATTATCGCGGTAGAAGCCATTTGTTTGTTAAATACTTAATGAAACATATTTACCGTGTTTGATTTGGTTGTGAACGACTCACAGACCAAGTTTATCGTTTATTGAACGTTCAGAAACTACGGCGGCTGTGAAGGTCAAATTCAGGCGCAAGGTAAAATAACCCTGATACAGGGTGAAGCACGCCCGTTGCCATGGCAACCGCCGCGACCTGAGCAGGGACTACATTAAAAACATTCAGTCCGTTACGATATCAGGTTTGCAGGCTTGATATTTATTTAGTGATCATTAATAATCCTCTCATGGACACAGCGCTGGTTGATTAGTTCATTTTAAACTCCTGCTCTGCTCGTTATTTTAATAATGGAACCGAAATGCACAGAATTGCCCAACACCTAGCAGGAACAATAATTACTGAGATTATTATTGTTGTTGGGTCATTAATTTGAAAAGTTTAGTTTATGTTTTGTTTTTGTTCTTTAAAGCTCTGAACGTTTTAAGCCAGTCAGAGGACGTGCTGGTCTCGGCCTCCTGGCGGCTCAAAACCTTCCGCTATCGACGTGTTGGACCTGCTATGGCAAAGCACGAACAGTTCAGAAACTATATGAAATGGGAATAAAGATATTTATTAACTGATTAAGTCGAGTTTTAGATTGTTCTTGAAAAACTAGTCAGTCACGGCTGCACAGTGAACCCGTTGATTCTCTACAGCAGACAGCCGCTCCTCTCTCAGGTACTGCAAACCCCCGCTAAATCTTTTAGGGGGACGCGGTCCCCGACCGTACCCCCCTACTTTCACCCCTGATTAAATGGAAAGCTGAGGTAAATGTTTCCCTCAGCTTCCACACTCATGAGCACACACAGAAAAAACAGGACGGGAGACCCAAGAAGGAAACTGTCCTGCGGTCGCCTCGGTAACTTTAGCAACAGATCGATTTGTGACGTATCCTGCTGAATGCAAAACCACCAGACCCATGGCACCAATACGACCGGGTCGAACCGGCCCAGGCCCTGCGGTGCCAAAAGGGCTTAAATGGAGTCGCAGTTCTGAACATTGAGGCTCCGTTTGGAAAGTTGGTCAAAAATTAATAATTTAAAATTTGTTTTATTGGCAGAAAATGGTGGTTAATTTTCGCCATGTTATTCATCTTTTATAATTGTCCCAGTTTATAACTAAATATTTAAATATCAAACTAAATATAAAGCTCAGAGCTAAATGTTTAGTTTTAAATATTTAAATATTTATTTGCCAAAAACAAGACATGGACTGCCAAAATAAAAGCTGGGTTTTCTGAAATGCTTTATAAACTCCAGCTTTTGAATCACTTCATCAGTTGGTGGTGACCTTTGACCCTGAATTTGACCCTAAGCTGGTGGTGAGGCGTCTCCAGGTCCAGATCTTCCCAACTGAACTCTGTGGTTTGGTCGAGGACTTGGTCCTCAGTGACATCACTTCCTGTTCATGTGTCTGAGGTTCCTACTACCTGACCACCACCTACGGCGCCCTGGAGCACATCAAGACGTTTGATCAGCAGAGGTCAGCGACGCGGCAGCTGAGCAGAGAGGTCCAGGACTCCATCCACCGCTGGGAGAGGCGGCGGACCCTCAACCAGGAGCGGGGCGGCCACGACTCTGTTCGGGTACAAAGGGGATCCAGGTGACCCAGGGGGTGCAGAGGGTCCAGGTGAGCTGCCTGACGTTGAAATGCTGTGGTTGTTCCTCTGCAGGACTTCCTGACTGTGTTTTGTCCTGAGATCGGCGTCAACCCGAAAACTCTGGGCGTCCTCCCCATGACAAGCATCCAGGAGCTGACCGAGCAGTGCGCCGCACGCTTCGAGCAAGGTACCGGTCTGCTTCTACCTCCCACATGTGACATCACTTCCTGTTCCCCATCAGGATCGAAAACACAGCTGTGATGTGGAAAAACTTCTTGACTAGTGGAAACCTTATCAAATCAAATGGACCATCAGAGTCTGGAGGTTCTGGAGGTTCTGACCTGTCCTCTCTGTCTCCCAGCCGGCTTCACGCTGAGCGTCTTTGTGGATGGAGTCCTGCAGCCTGTTGCTCCTACAGACCGGGCCCTGAATGTCAAGAACCGCTGCCAGCCCGGAGCCTACTGCTTCCTCTACCACCCCCCCGACCAACCCAGCACCCTCCAGGTCCGGCCCGACCGACCCAATCCCCCCCAGGTCCGGACCTGTCCTTCTGCCCCGCCTCCTCCTCCGCCTGGCGAGGACCTCCAAATCATCAGTCCTGGGAAACTGGAGGAGGAGGAAGCCCTGATTGACCTTTAACCCTTGAAGCATCTGAGGCAGAGTGTTGCCATGGTAACTGCATGACAGAGCAGGAATGTATTTTGACCTTAGAACTGAAGCTGAGGAGAACCTGGAGAACCGAATCTGGACCAAATGGGTCAGAACACGCAGAAGGACTGGTCCAGATCCTGGTTCTGGTTCTGATGACTTGGATCGGTCATTCTTTCTATAATAAAAACCAATAACCTCCCAGAATGGCTTACTGATGATGATCATCATCATCCTGTTCACACAATAAATATTAATAGGAATAATCATTTAAAAGTAGTTACTCAAAATAAATTTAGTAAAACACAATTGGAGAAATAAAATTTAAAGTTAAATTCATTAAGTGCTAAAATAGTGACAATAACTTCAATAATAAATTTCAAATGCATTTTATTTCATTCATTAATGGCCGATTAAAAATCTGATTCATTAAACTGCTAGCAGCCTAACCTGCTAACTGCTGGTTTAGTTGGATAAAAAACTAAACTAGCTGATTAGCTTTTTATCCAAGTTTCTAGTTTTACTAATGATTGTCATGAACATTTCATTTAATAGTTAAACCTACTGAAGTCCAACATTTTGTCCCATAGAATTCAGATTCTCAACATTTCTAGTGCTGCCAAAACCACAGAATTCATTTATCAATAATTGAATGAATTATTGGTTAATCTATTAATTACATGAGCCAAACAACAATTTGAATTCTGATTCCCCACATGATGATGAAGCTTCAGGCCTGAAGCTGATCTGTGTGGGAGTTGGTCAGGGATCAACATTCAGGTGGGCCGTTTCGCCCTGGGTTTCGCCTGCCAGGTTTTGGGTTCTCAGGCGTGGAAGCTCACTCCGTCAGAGACCCGCCGATCCACGCGGCCACCATCTGAGCCACTTCCTGCCCCGCATCCAGGACAAAGGCGTGCCGAATGCCTCGCTCACACAGCCGGATGTCTCCGTGCGGGAAGTCCCTCCTCATGTCCTGGAAGTAGCTGACCGGACACCAGTGGTCCGTGGCTCCATAATAGAAAATGAGCTGCAACAGAACCAGGCAGAACTTTGAGGTTCTGATAGAAGTGGTGAGGCGGTTCTGACCTAGACAGATGGGTTCTTACCCTGTCCAGGTTCTTCTGGATGGTAGCGTTATCTCTTTCCTGAACCATCGTCATTTCCTGGCCGCCCAGGTACATGGAGTTCACTGCAACCAGAACCAGAACCATGAAGGCGAGAACCGTACAGCAGAGGGAGAACGTTCATCATGTTGGAGTTTCAGAGCATCAAACCTTCAGCAAAATCACTGAATCTCACCGTACTTCAGTCTCTGGAGGAAATATTGGAGCTTAGCTCAGTAATTCCTGACCAGAGGCGGTCCTAGCCTGTTTGGTGCCCTGGGCGACCCGCCTTCCCGGCGCCCCTTTCCTCCCAACGAGGAGTTTGTGTTGTGGGTGTTTGTGGTGTGAAGGTCATCTGTCATCCAGTTTGTCCTTTTTTTACAAAATCTTATTATATAAAAACATTTCCCTGAGCTCCAATAAGTGAAACACGAGGGCTTTAAAATGTGCAGACATTCCAATGTCTTCAAATAAATGTATTTATAACATCCGAATCTTTAGTATCTTGTACCACTTTGTCTCCAATAGAGCTTCAACATCAAACATTGAGAACATAAGAAATGAGGCTACTGTGGTAATTACATACGGTACTCAATATCAACAATTTACTAAACTATAATGTTTAAGGACTTCAATCTTGATTTTACTCTTTCACTCTGGGCATCAACATAATTGCAAACCTTAAGTAATTAACCTTAAACATGTGAACATGCTTTGAAAAATACTTGTTTTTTTTTTAAATTAGTTATCACACTGAATTAACCACATAGCTTCTCAAACCTTTGCTATGTGGAACAGATTAACATGGCGGCCTGCCTTCAAGACAATACACAGGGCAAAGCTGGCCCACCTCTACCGGCTGCCCCTCACACAAAATGCTGCCCTGGGTGGTTGCCCACATAGACATGAATACGTAGACCCCTCATAAAGCGGGTCGCCCGTTGCTGCGATACGTCACAGCGTCCGCCATATTGAATGTGGAATATGTCCCAGTAAGCTAATACAGGTAAATGGACCG